TTATGTAAAATAATGGAAATGAGTAACTACGCGCGCTGATTAAATTACAAGCGATTGTCGCGTAACTGAGTTAACCTTAATTGCGGAATCAACGGCTATTTAACGAGATTTCGTCTCGTCGAGTCGCGTTGATGCGACGACATTGCGAAAATAATAAACGACTATGATTCACAGGATTGAATTTTGCATCGCGCGTTTCCCCTCTTAATATCATATCTATATCTATCTTGTTGACGATTAACAGCGGTTGACTAATTAACTCATGCCTTAATGATGCCCCAATCACGCAAAACATGACAGATTAATGTTTAACAAAAGTTAATAATTAGTTACGATCCTCCATGATAGCGATTTAATTAGCGCAAAGCCCGCCGTGTCAGAGCGTAAATATTTTCATCATTTCCTTCCGATTAGTAATAATCACAATTCGCACGTCGAATCGACGAATCAATGATCGGGAGGAAATATCTCGACCATCTTTTATCACATCTCCAAGGAAAATAAATGTCGATACGTATATTCGGAAATCATCTTGCGCAGCATGCGCGCCATTTGACACAATTAATGGGTAACCGGAAACGAAGAGCCGTTACAGTCACAATCGATATAGTTCACGAAACAGATGACGGTGAAATTACGGGTGTGTGTTGGTGAACAATGTCCTCCAAGAATGGTCTATATGTCGCGAGGATCCTGCAAGGCTCGCTCATTTCGTGAGACAGCGTCGACGACGGCGCGTCCACGAGTCAACTAGGCATTCATGCATTGGAACACGCAATTGGCGACGCACGCGGCACGTGCCATCGGACATCTGCACAGCATCAAACTCGGTGAGTAACTGTCTCGGCATCGCGACTATTATCTTTTCAATCGCCCACGTGTTCGCTAATATAAACTCGATCTTTAAATTAGAAATGTATACATGAGTAGGAAAAGAAAATAGGATAACTGTATTTAAGTGCAATAGTAAAGTGCAATATGAATAGATAGAATAAAATTATAGTGTAGGTAGGATAGGGTGTGGAACAAGGATAATATTTATAAATCAAGTCCTTTCCTGGCTATAAATATGCTGAAATACAATAAATATATATATAAAAATTCGATCTTTGAGATGTCGATTGTGAACGGTTCATATTTGTCGAAATATTAACTCGAAATATTTGCTAAAATTTCAGACGCTTTAACTTTAAGAAAAATTAATCTAATTATTTTTTTTAATATTTATTTTCGCATATGATGATTTTACTGAAAAAATTAATATAAATTGGAAAAATAATATTTTATATATTTATTCGAATAATTTGTAAAAGTAAATAAATTTCTTCATATTGCTTTATGAGACTATCTCTCTATTTGATTCTATATTTGAATTTTTTAATTAATGTGGCATTTGCCTCAATCTATTTTATTTTATTTCTAAAAATTCATTGTACCGCCATAACTGTCATTGAGAAATGTCCAAGATTCTAGAGATACGATAATTTCGATGGTTAGAGCGGAACATAAGACGAAAATTGCGTGACCGCGACGAAACAAAGAAATGGGAGAGAAATGAAAAACATGTCCGTATCTCTCGCGATAGTTTTCGCGTGTAATCGTAAAAGAGGGAATTTCTTTTTCGTGCAAAAAAATTTTTACGTCAGTCGCTTGAGAATATTTAGTCGACTGTGACGCTCCTCTCTTTTACGCGGCGCGTCCAATTGGAACGCGGAATGCGTAACGTGCGAATCGGAATGCGATCGTTCGCGACGGTCCGACAAAGGGCTGCGAGGACGAGGAGAGTCAACTTGACTCTCCCCAGTAGTCTCGTCGCCGGTACGCCGGACGATTCCACTACGAAATAAAGCTACAATGCGCACATACCCCCGCGGAGATCGATATGTTTACACGACCGGGGGGTTACGTAAACGCTTGGAGAAGTTCGTTGACTCCGCTCGCTCATCGCCCGAGTGCGCGTTTGCTCGAAATCCTCGCCTCGATTCCCCGAGGGAATCTACTACCCCTCCGCGTTTTGTGATTTGAATTAGACGCGCATCTTATATGTTTACACGTGCATTGAAATCCGTATATAATTGCGGCGAGTCCAATCATCTATGGATACGAGAAAATACCGACGATGTCAGTCGTCGTGTTTTCTTTGTCATGAAAAAGTGGAGTTTCGATCTCGATAGCATCGAGATCTAATCCCATTGGCATCGACATCGGTTTCAATTCCCGAGAAATAATAGGGATTAGGACGGGCGTCTAAAGTAAGACGTTTCATATTACTGTTCGCTACGTATTGTCAATCGATAGCTTCCAGGTGAAAAGATATAGAATCGCGAATTTCTACGTGAGGATGAACTTTTTGCAATATTATGTAGCAAGGAATTTCAGTAACTTATAACAATACAGAGATTCGATGTATTGTAAGTTATTAATTGTTTCACAGATATCATGTAACAGTTGAAACAGGAAATGATTATGTTAGGCAATGCTGCTGTCATCGAAATAAAAAGGGACTTTTAAATGTCGCGTTTCTCGAAATTACGCTACGCCACAAAGGGTTAAAGTCGATTCGCGTGCAAATTCGTTACATCGATAATCGAATGACGATGCGACCCACTGGAAAATTATGACAATTAGATATATTAGAAATTACGGGAATTAAATGAACCATTTATTCCGAAAATGGCGAAAAGCGTATATTAAATCACAATGGAATTAAATAATCTGCAAATTAGTGATATACAGACTGATGCATTGTATAAGATGACATGGTATACATAGTTGGTGCATAGAGTTTGGAGTAAAAATAAAATATCGGAGATGATTTATTTCGAATGTGAGAATGTTACAAAAACGTTAGAGAATTGAAATAAGAAAGATAAGAAATCGAGAAAATCACACATAAATTTCGATTCTGAATATTTTTTTGCATCTTTTATAAATCGCCCAAATATATACCGTAATAAGATTTTAATAATTCATGACTATGTGCTATTTTCAAGATATAAAAATATCAGAAAATCGGCACTTTTCGTTTCCATTTCCGCCGCACTTTGTCGATTCGCTTTAATTTTGTAGATCTAAGAAGATCAACGTCGCGAGTTACGAAGATTGAAATAAGCCCGCGAAGCCCGTTGTTAGTCGTATCGCCGATATGCACCGCGCCCGCGGAATCTCTCCGCGGAAAGAAGATATATTCAAATGTATGCAGGCTTTGTGCACGGAGTTCCGAGATGCAAATATTTATACTAGAGTGAATTTACAATCCGACGGCGTTAATTATGCTTTCTCGCAGTCCCCGCTCGGAATTGAATACCGGTAGCAAAATGGCAGTCGGCAAGTATACCTCGCCGGTAACAATTACCCGAGATAGCTTTTTAGGAATCATATTTTTAGGAATCAGTATAAAAATGCCGTTTCGCGCTCGTGCGTTTTTATTACATATCCGCGGCTTTATTGCGCTTGCCACGTTACATTATTACCGCCGTAATGCTCGCGACGATTTTCGCGATGCTTTCCATGCTACCGAAAACACCGAAAAAGATTTATACGATCCTTGGTATTCTACTGAGAATCAACGGTCTTCGTGAGCGCGGGCAATATCGGCCTTTCGCAGACGACAGGGGGAAGGAACGCTTATTCTCCTTCTGCAATCAGCCGTCGATCGAACGCGTTGGCTTACAAGTCAATTAGGCCGTATTCTTGCCGGGGACCGAGAATTACTTTGAATATTGCCTCGCAATTAACCGCGGCCGGCCATTGAGGAGTAATAGCGCGCGCACGCCAGCAGTTACGACTTCCTCCGGCATGAGCGTAATATCGCGGTGCCTTCATTCATCGCATTCCGTCGCGTCGTCAAGGTGTGCACAACCACGGAGCCAAGCTTAATGTGCATTACATTCGGCATCGTGTTCATCTTTCATGTAAGCCGCGGCATATCGAATCGCCATTGCGGCGATTCGTTTCGATTCGAGATCGCATCGTTCGGCTCTCCGATCGATAAGGTAACGTTCACTTTTTTTTCGTACGAGAAAATAAGCTGTTACAAACACAGCAACGACTTCCACGATCTTACTGCGATAAAATTTGCGGAGTAATGTTGTCGAGAAACTGAGTTTATCAATATGGCTTTTTATCTTGTTATTCCAGGATGCTATGCGTAACGAGAGTATCATCGAATATCACACTTGTGATATAAAACGATACTTTTATTTATATTTTATTTTATTTATATTATATTTTACATAATCATTTTATTTATTTATATACATTTTATTTATATATATTTTTATTATACATCCTTTACGCAAGACCGCGTATCTTGATAACGCGTAAGTTTATATATGTTATTCTATATTGAATAATTCATAAGAGAGTAGAAGTTTCAAACGAATGAATGAAAAAGTTTTACTCTCGATAACACCCTCCATTTGAAGAGTTTGGTGGAATCGGAATGTAAGTTCGGAAATATATAGTTTTGGCTCTACAAGTTAGATAACGATTACATTTTGAAAAGAAACTGAATCTTTTAGATGGCAGAAAAGTATGCCAGAAAAAAATGCATTAATATTTTTATATCCGTATACCGTCAAATTTTCTCAATGTAAAAAATATTTTTGTTGACCTTCTCAGTTAAAACACACATACAAAGTACAGCGTTGTCTGCATAGTTTTGGAAGCGCACTGAAGGCAATGAGACAATATTTGAGTAAATAACATAATAACATAATAACATATTAATAAAAATGCTTCTTTAAACAAAAATATAAACAAAGATAACTGTTTATGTAATTATAAAGTAACAATTGTTTAAAATACAATTGAGCAAACTCGTTTCACAATTAATCAACATTATTGTTTCGCGAAATGGAAAGAGAGATGCTTCAGAGAGAATGCTTCCACATCCTTTGCGGTCAAGTCTCCAGCAGAAGTGCCAGTCGCTCCGTTTGCCCGCACTAAGCAGACGCCGCTGACAAAGGGCTCTTGATAGTGAGTGAAGCAGTACTCACCGGTTACTGGAGAGTGATCTGTTCCTCGAAGTTCCGGCGCGTTTCGTGCTTGCACACGTGGATCCGAGCGAGCGAAGTCAAATCGATGCGCAATCACACACGCGTCTCGTACACGTGTTTCGTCAACAATGCGATAAGAACGCGCTCGCTTATCATGACTGTTAAGCCGCGCACCACCATCATCGGAATTACTCGACGTGACGCAAATCGATTCGGATCTTTCGGTCGATAAATAACACCGCGCGATTTCATCTCGTCGTCTCACGGCGCGCCGAACGCACTACGAACTCCCTCTTGGATCGTTCGTTCATCTTGCAGCGCGGACGACAACAGGCGGATACGATGCTGGACCGATGACGGTGAAGCCGAAGGCGAGCTCGTGGGACGATTACGTTGCAGTCGACAGTAGCCTGCGGGATGTAGAGCGAGCCCTGCGAAAGATCACGCCTTTTACACAATGCATGCCGGGGCGGCATAAAGATATCGATCGCCACGTCATATCACGTGCCGCCGATCGTTTCGTCGAGAGGCTCGAAGGTCAACGCGACGGTGATTCGAGAGCAAACCGCGCGAAGCTCTTCGCGATGGCGTAATTAGGCGAGCTTACAACCGGGAAACACGATGTTCAAACGTGCGCGCGCGCCCGCACACCTTGTTCCTTCGGCTCGTTTTGTTAGACGTGAACATTACGAACTCATATCGAGCTCCGCTATTTTTGTACATCCCATCGAATTACACGCCGGAAACATTCTCTACTACTCAATGTAATTATCAAGCCACACCTTGGCTGCGGTGTCGTTTCGCTTTCTCCTCGCGATCGAGCATTATAATATTGAAGTTATACAAGTTCTCTTTTCAAAGCGTAAAAGGTTCGTTCTCGGTACACGCAAGATTCTATTTATAGCTCTAGTAATTAATAAATAAAATTAATAAATGGAATACGTATTTATGATCGGTCAGCTCTAGTAATTAATAAATAAAATTAATAAATGGACTAGAATACGTATTTATGATCGGTCAGTTTTGTACACTTCTCAGTACGCAAGCATCGTCTAATTACGTCTCTCGCTTTTGGTTTCCATTAGCAAATTCCTTTAAAAGAAACCTTACGTGTCCCACGAATTGTGCGAAGCGCGAATTGCCGTCCGCAGACCGTAAAATCGAGTTTCACGCAGCTCTTCGACTTGGAAAGGTTTCTTTGTAAGGGTGACTAATGAGCTTCGTCGAGGCTTTAACGAGCGATCGAGGCAATGTTAATCGGACGACACTAAAATTCACAGGCGATTTTGTTGGCAGGTGATCGAAACGAAACGAAATGAAACGAAATAAAACGGTACGCATCCATCGTACTTGTTGTACAATTTATAACTTGCATAAATTTTATCGTGCGGTAACGAGCGATCATGAAAATCCGTCGTTTATTTTTATTTCTCGCGCTGCGTGCACGTTCCACGTCCACGGGCCTCGCACGCACGTATACACATGCGTGCCTCGTGCGTGTGACATGCACGCGTGCAAGCGATACGGTGCTTGTTGCACGGACGAACCGACGGACGAACGTATGAATTCGTGCCAGTAAATGGCGGTTATGAAAGAGCGTGAGGAACGCGTACGATGTTGACGCCGAGGGCCAAGTGCCCACGTCCGTCCATCAGCGTGGGTTACAACGTCGCGGTCCGTCGCCGGGCCGCATGCCATTGTCAAGAGTGACGAGCGACGACACCGACGCGACGCCGGGCGAGACAGAGAGCACACCACCTGTTACACGCACCCCGCTATTTACAAGCGACAACATGCCCCGCGCGTGCACATCCCGCCGAATATTTACATATTCATTATATTCCACGCGCGCTTTCGAAACGCCACGTCCGGAATTGAGATCGATTGCGCGTAGACCGGCCGCGTGCGAGTGAATCTACCTATCCGCTTTCGGCCGCGCTCCCTCCGCGCTTGCGTCGGCGAAATTCGCGCTCGCCGTAATTCATTACGATAATTGAAACGCCGCGCCCGCGCGAGCGTCCACGCGCGCGCGCAATTAACGCGAGTTCCGCAATTGAAATATTTCATTTTGCGTGCGAGCTATATTATTCGCTTTATGGTCCGCGGAGAGAGAGCCGAGCGCATACGGCTATACATTACAACGGGGCGACTTGGTAATATTACACCATCACCACCGCCGCCGCCGCCGCCGCCGCCGCCGTCGCCGCCGCTGCCGCCGCCGCCGCCACCGCCATCGTCGGTTGTAATAGAAAGGCATTGTCATATAAATTCATATTACGCGATAACGGTGATACGCCGCGGTATCAGCTTCCTGTTTTAATGGCATAAGAGCCATTAAAAGCATCCCGTTCCGCAACGAGCACTATCCGAATCCGCGCCGAAAATAGCCACCTTTTCTCGCCTGACGTCGTGTAAACGCGCCGATGAATCATTCGCGGGGTTCGCGAGGTCGCCGCGAAATTATATCCGGTTACATCGCGCACTACATTTGAGATGAGTGCCATTTTGCAAATATGTTACGCCTGATCTCACATTATTAGAAAATTTTCGTGACCACATATTTCGTGACCTCATATTTATTTCACATTGTATTTTAAATTATCTTTTACATTCAAATTTAATTTGCATAGTTTGTTTGCACATTATTTTTTATTATTTTTTATTTTATTTTCATATCTGCATTTTGACACTCAAATCATTTTCAATACTTCCTCTGTGTATAACTCCTTTGGAATTGAAGATCATAAGAAGCTGTTATATTTCTTCAATAGGAGAGCTTTGAGATATTCTTTGAGATATTCTTTGTAAATCGCGTCTATTTTGCATTTTATTGAAATAAATACTTCAATAATTATTTGAACTTTAGCTTCTTATAATTTATTATACTACGTTTACGGAAGTTTACATGCATACTTTCTATGTTTCTGTACAAGTAACGTTTAACACACACAATTATTCTTTTCCGATTTATTGTCAACTAATACGAAGTATTAAACCGTGAGTAAAGTGTATACATTGAAACACCATCAGCCTTTTAGCGTTAAATTTTATATAGAATATGGTTAAAACTTGTCATCACTCTGCTAACTTTTAAACATGCACAAAAAACAATTTTCCTTCTTTGGGAAAGTTACGAGACAGATTGATTGTGTGCCATTTTGGCATTTTGTTCTTATTTATATGTACCAGAATATTTGGAATGATAATCGTATATTATTTTATACACAAATGGTATTAACGCTAAAGAAAGTCCGATGTTTATTTCACTAGGGCATTCTAATAAAAATATAACTAATAAAAATAGGAAAAATTGAAGAGGATGGAGGACAAAAACACATTAAGTTAAATTCCACTGATTAGAATATTAATTATTATTAATTTAGATGTAAATAACGCGCGCGCGATAAAGTAAACTAAATGAATAAAAAAGTGAGTTAAGTACCAAGTTATTTGCTTATCTTTTTCATAGTCTGTCATTGAAAGAGGTAAGCAAGTAAATTGTTACTAGACTTGTCGTTTCTGTGAATTCATACAAATGAATGGCATTTAATTATTAAAATCGATATCGTCATTTACCATTCAGTTTTCGTGTCGAGTTTACGTGCTTTCATATAACTTTCTTTTTTTTCCGCATAATACGTTTCATTACGCGATTCTCCGACTACGCTTATTGATGAAGAATATGAACTTTTCTGGAGTTATAACAGGGAATTCTGTTTTGTGATATTCAACAGGTCATGGCAAATTTTTATTATATTTTCCGATGAAATCGATAAACACGATATAATATTAAGATTAACGAAAGTCTTTATTATTTATTATTCGCGAACAGACGAGGAAATATTCAATTTACAAAACGTGTCACATAGTTCTATCTAAATCAAATCTATCTAAATCTAATTCAAATTACGTGAATAATTTTATATAAACGCAAATATATCTATAGGTTTTTACATTATTATTCTATTAATTAGTTGACTAGATAAATTGAAATTCAATGCTATGCCATAAATTGTTCTTATAATATAAAGATATATCGTTTTCTTTAGAGACAAGTCTAGGAGGCTATTTTTCAGTTTTAACATAAAGGCACTTGATTCCTTTCATACGAAAGCTATCCATAGAGATACATGCATTCATATTGCAAGGATACATCGAGGGTACCAGAATTACATCATCAATTCGTATTCACACCGCACGTTTAGCGTTAAATCTATCTGATGCTCATCCTACGACGTTACACATCGAATGCGATCTTCATATTATACATAAAACTTATAATTAAACGGTAACATTCAACACGGTGAACGCGGCGCTAATGAATACCGTAAGTTGAGAAAGATCCAAGTGCCAGAAAAAAAATTAATTAATATCTGTAAAACGGAATTTAACTGTTCACGTCTATAGAAATACAATGTAAAGATTCCTTTGCGTTTTCGTATATGCATTTGGCATTTCGGATCCTTAATACGGCAATCAGTTGGCGACGCGAGTACGGATTCATTATCAAATCGGCGTTGGACAACAACACCACCAACGTGCATACATCGATCATCTCAAATAGCAAATATACACCAACAGTAAATTGCGTGCAAGCGTGTGAGTACGTAAGAACAGATTATGCAGACATCGAACAAGATTTGTCGCGCGAGTATGAGCGAGCGAGCAAGCGAGCGTGCCGAGCCGAGACGAGACAGGACCAACGCGCGTCGGCATATCCTGACATACCCTCGTCGGGGTTGCTGTCACATCCGCCGATGCGTTAATCGCCGTCGTGCAAAGTCCACAAGGCGCGCTCGCAGCGACACGCGGGACGTGGCACCGCGCGTTATACATATATCACGCAATCCAAAAGGAATCAAATGATCATTCGGTTTACCGTCGTCGTTCGGAACAACCCTCGCGGTCGTGCATAGCATCACGTTCGAGCATCGTTATCTTCTCTGTCGTACGTTTCCCTTCCCACAGCCACCCTCTATCTCTCTCGCTCTCGTTCCGTCTATTTCTCTCTCTTTCTTTCTCTCTCGCTAGCCCTCTTTCTCTCCCCCGTTTCCTCACGCTCTCGCTCCAACGCCCTCCCTGTTGATAACAGGCGCCCCGACTTCTCTCTCCCACTCTTGTCTCTCCTACCCTCTCTATACACGAGAATGCACGCCCGAGGCGAGGTTTAAGGACCGTCATACGAATACATTTTCTTACACGAATGTCCACCTCGGAGGTCCTGCAGACACGACAGACATGACGCCACGGCGTCTACACCATCCTTTGTTCTCTTCTGCGCGTTACGTTTCTCAGGTTTCCCCTCTTCTTCTCTATCCTCCTTTCTTCTCTCTCTCTCTCTCTCTCGCTCGCTCCTTCGGATTCACTCCTCCTCTCTATCCTTCGCGTTCTCGCTCGCCGCTGCACTCGCCCCTGCTGCACGGCCGTCGTTTCTCGACATCAAGAGAGAGATCGCAGCGACGGATGACGGGAGAACTCGCGGGACGTGAAATCGAGATTTGTTTCGTAGTTGCTCCGTGTGTCCGTGTGAGACGGCGACGAGTACGGTAGCTGAGCACGGAGCACGAGCACGGTACGAGCAACGTAGCGTCGTTGTGCGAAGAGCGAGCGTGATCGTGGGAACGAGAGAGAGCGACGCGAGGCCGGCGACGATGACGACGACGACGACAGCGGTGGCAAGGGGTATAGCAGAGGGCGAGAGCGTGCATATACAGAGAAAGAGAGAGCAAGAGAGAGAGGTAGTGAAGGAGAGTGGAAGGAGAAAGAGCGGAGGTGCAGAGGAGTGATAGATGGAGTGAGAGGAGGAAAAGGAGGTAGGGAGCGAGGAACGAGGTGGTAGTACTGCACTCGTCCGTCTCTCTCTTCCCGCGGCGACTGCGACTCGCGCACGGAATCGTTCGGGGTCGCGTGCCTTCTGGATAGCGCCAGCACCACCGG